TGTCAGTCTATTGAAGCACAACAGACATAGGAAATGAATACAGAGAGACAGAAGTTGTGCCAGGACATTAGAGATGCCAGGAAAACACTGGAAATAAAGCAAAGGCAGCGGGGGGGGGGGCCGGGGCAGGTCTCCAAAACGCCGACACCGTCCCTGGTGCTTTCTTTTTGAAAAAAGAAAAAGTAAGGGGTTATCTCTTTGAAAACTTTAATCTATGAAGTAAAAAGGAAAATACACAGAAATACAACAGACAAAGAGGAAGATAAAATAGACAATCAAGACTAGGGTGGGGGACAGGAAACACTTCAGGCAGGAGATGAGCTCAGAGAACAGCCAGAGGAGGGACAGTGACCGGATGATGAGCTACATCAGGAGGCTCAGTAGCACCCACTGGTCCAGGCCACTCCCGTTTGACATTCTCCCTGCAATAACACTGAAATGGGCTCTGGGCAAAACTGTGGGCAGGGCATACTTGGCATTCATCCAGGTGCCATCCACCACCCCCAGGGTTCTAACTGATCTCGGGCCTTGTCCTCAGAGCACCCAGGGTGTCCAGTATCCTCTGAACTGTGACCTCCAGAGTTCCTCCTACACACACTGATGCCTGATGAGACACAGCAGGAGTCTGAATGGAACACTTACTCCGGGTCCTCTGCCTTAAGAGGAAATGGACTTTGACCCACTCGGGGGATGCTTCGCATTTTTAATTTTATTATTTCAACACATTTTCTTACGAGCTTTTACACCAAAGTACCCTTTGAAAGGAGAGGTTCCGTGATGAGATTTTCAGCTTTTCATCTTTTGTACCCAGACGGGACTTGCACCGTTTGCTTTTCTTTGAAGTGCCGGGGAGCCCAGCGCAGAGCAGGGCTTGATATTTATTTTGATTGGTTTCGCAGCAGGCTAACTTCTCCCTGTCTTCATCACCAGACCCAGAGACCAGACACAAGGACGGCACAGGTCTCCACACTTCAAAATATGCAGAGTTCTGCACACTAAGATTCCTACGGGGTCCTGCGGTGAAGATGAAGAATGGGCGGGGGTGGGGAGACGAAGGCGGGAAACAGTAGCCCTTGGTACAGCGGACGTTTCGCTGGGCTGTATCCCTTTTTATAGTAAGAACTGCCCTTCTTAGCATCACTGGCCTCAGCACTCAGTAGCACACCCGGCCTTCCTCACGGTGGCTGCTTCTAGACGCTGCCAAGTTTCCCGTGGGGGAGGGGAGGGCAGGGCAGGGCAAGGTGATTTGCTTAAGAACCACCAGGCATCACCACCCCTGCGCTCTCCCGGTGGGCTGCTTCGGGGGTATGAGGGGCTTACTTATCTCCTATCCAGGATGCTCTGGCTGGTACCGACATCTTCTGTGCAGACAGCAGCGTGAGCTCCACAGCCTGGATACTCTAGTAAATCTCGAAACCGCTTTTTCTTTAGCACCCTAGAAACAGCTCCTTTAGGGGTGTTTTGTTATTTTAAAAGCTGAAAAAGCAGTCAAGGACGCCGATGCCAATCTCCTTTCGTTCTGATAAAGGGCTCCAAGCTGCCGCTTATCTAGAAATCTGAGATTTTGAAGACCTCTGCTTTTTTTTCCCGTTTCAAGGACTGACAACCTAAAGCAAAGGTTCTCAACCTTCCTAGTGCTGTGACCCTTTAATACAGTTCCTCATGTTGTGGTGACCCCCAACCACACCATTATTTTAGTTGATACTTCATAACTGTAATTTTGCTACTGTAATGAATCATAATGCAAACATTTGTGTTTTTGATGTCCCCAGGTGACCCTGGGAAAGGGTAGTTCAACCCCCACCAAGGGTCGTGACCCACAGGTTGAGAACTACTGACCTAGTGGCTATATTTAGGATCTACATTCATTTACCGGGGGTGGGTAAGTTGTTGGTCGTTCTTGAGATAATCTCACTAGATTGCTCAGAGTGACTTTGAACTCGCACTCCTCCTAGATTGACCCTGGGTAGATGGGACTGCAAGGCACGGCTATCACACTCAGGTAGGGTTACCAGTTTCGATGGATTCTTTGAAGCCTTGCCTTGAGGAAGATTAGGTCCGTCTAGCTCTACTTTCTTTTGAAGGCCTGAGGATCCCTAGAGAGCTGCTGGCCTTCAGTCTATGTTGGAAGCCCAAAGAAGCTGGCTCTAGAATTGGCAAAGTATGCGCAGCAACAGGACAGATGGGCACGTCCAGGAGAGAGAGGGCAAGCAGGCAAAGAGCAGTTTGCTTTTCCCTTGTCCTTTAGCTGAGCTTCCACCAGAAGCTGCCGTCCACAGTTAGGGCGGGCCTTTCTGCTCCAGGTAATCTGAACAAGAGTCAATATTTTTTTAAAAAAAAAAAGTCTCAGAAATTAGGGGATTTAAGATGTAGGAATGACTTCACCACTTGTAATATCCCTCACAGGAGTGTCTGGAGGCTTGTGCTTTAGTTGATTCCAGATGGAGTTAAATTGACAAACAGGACTAGCCATCGGGGCAGGGCACTCAGTCCTCACCACGCTTCTGAGTCTCTCCCACCCACAGGACAGTCCACCTGGAGGGAACAGCGAGCCGCAGAACTGTGGCTTCCCACAAGCCCGAAGGACCGTACTGTTAGGCATCTTCACTTCAAATAAAGCTATCATGAACTCCTGGGTCCCATACCTAGCTCTGTATGAAACTGGGTGTGGAAGCACGCACACATGTATGTAATTCCAGCACTGTGGAGGAGGAGGCAGGAGGATGAGAAGTTTAAGGTCATCTTCAGTTATGTAGCAACTTGGAGGCTGGCTGAGGTTATGTGAAGGTCTGAAAAGGAGATAAAGGCAGAATAATAGGAGGGCAAAGAAAGGACTCTGAGGGGATGGGTTGGGAAAGAAGAAGGAAGAGAGGAGACAGCACATCGTCCCTCTTATTTTCCAGTGTGCATCTCCTGGTGTCCATGGTGCCCAGTGTGCATCTCCTGATGTCCATGGTGTCCAGTGTGCATCTCCTGGTGTCCATGGTGTCCAGTGTGCATCTCCTGATGTCCATGGTGTCCAGTGTGCATCTCCTGGTGTCCATGGTGTCCAGTGTGCATCTCCTGGTATTTAGTGTGCTTCTCCCAGTGTTCAGTGTGTGCCTCCCGGTATCCACAGTATCCAGTGTGCACCTCCTGGTGTCCTCGTTGCTTCTCCCGGTGCCGTGTGTTTTGCGGGCTTACCTCACATGTGCCTGTCCAGGGCTCTATGTATCTGCCCCTCTGAACAATCTTAAGTTTGTTCCAAGTGAAAAAATTTAACCCTAAACCACTGTGACAGGCCTATAATAATAAATACACAGCAAAATTAAATAAAGCGTATATTTTGAGGAATACAGTTTGGCAATTTGTTATTTAAAACTTTAAAGGTACATGTATTCTAGGGCCTAAAAATTCCATTATAGGAGTCAATATTTTTAAAGCCTCAAAAATAAGTGAAACCTGGAATTCAGCACTTATTATATTAACATGTACAAAATGCAAACATAGCCAATAAAATAGAACCATTATAAGTTATATCTTTATTCGCATAAGCATCTTTAAGAACATTTTCTAAAAACAATTGATAAAAACATCCATTGTAGCCCAGGCAGTGACACAAACATGTTGCAAAGCAGTCACAATTCTATAAAGTATATTACAATAATTACAATAAAATATTCTGTTAACACAGAAGTAAACAGAAATAAAATATACTCAAAGGTTAGTAGAGTTGATTGCTGAGTGGCCCCGCCGTGGGTAATTCCACTTGTATTTTCTACTTCCGTGCAATGACTTTATGATAAAGATTTAATTCTTTAACTTGCAAATTACAAAAATGCATGAGACATTTTAAGGTATTTTTGTTTGTTTGTTGTTGTTGTTGTTGTTTCGGTTTTGCTGTAGTTTTGGAGCCTGTCCTGGAACTAGCTCTTGTAGACCAGGCTGACCTCGAACTCACAGAGAAGGTAGTTTTTAAAGCCTGTGTGTCTTGTCCTAACTTCTTTACAAGCTCTTTAGGGAACAGGTTGCGTCTTGGGCTTCTTCTCCCCTTTTTTCCAAGTGCTCTCTATTAAGAAGTCTTCCACGGTGTAAGTCTCCCTCCGAACCTATCCTATTTCCTACCAACTGCCATAGAAAAACCCCCGCTGCTCCTCAGAAACAGTTTTAGTTCTCGTTGTCAGCACCACATAGTAGATTTAACGTTAACTCCATCACAATTCGCGACTGGTTTACTATCCTGCCGCTTCTCGTCCTGCCTGTGCTGGACTGTGCATTAAGAGTTCACCACTCAAGGGCGGGACCACCCACAAACCTGGCAACTAGGGCAGGCAGGTGGAGCCCAGTCGGATCAGGCCTGGGGTGCTTCTCATTGGCGTGTTTATAAGGAATCAACCAAAAATCCCTTTCCGGGGCCGATCGCTGTGGGGAAGACAAAACCGCAAGCCCAGTGGACGGCCTAGAGCTTCCTTTGGAAGGGCACCAGGTGGGGGCGTGGCGTGGGAGGTCCCTTATAGGAGGCGGGGCCCTGGGGGCGGGGCTCCGGAGGCGGGGCACTAGGGGCGGGACTCGGGGGAGGCGTCCCATAGCTCCTCCCGCGCGCGGCCCCTGGGGT